GGTGACTTGGTGATGGGAAACCCGCGGGGATTACAATTGAGATGGAAAAAAAAATGTACAAAATGATGTAAAAATAAACTATTGTAAAATAAAAAAAAAATGTGTCTTTTTCACCAGAAAGAAGGAAAAATGCTGGATGGTTTCTCTCATAGAAGGAATATAACAGAACAGGTGAGAAAATAATGATAATGATGAACAGCTATATACCAGAGACATTTTGTGGGGGTAGAGTGGGGAATGGGATCAAAACGGTGGGAGGAGGGGAATGCACTGGACTATGGTGATGGCACATGGGTGATTTGGTGATGGGAAACTCAAGGGGATTGCAACTGAGATGGAAAAATGCACAAAAATATGTAAAAATAAACTAATATAATAATTAAAAAATGTGTCTTTTTCAAGGCATTTCAACAGGGTTTCTGATGTTACCTAGCTTATATAAAGATCTGAATTCAGAGCCAAAAGAACTTTTTCTCTAGGCAAACATGATTTATTTTCTTGTATCAATTAATGAGAACTATATAAACTAAATTTTTTTTTTTTGCCAGAATACAGAGATGAAATCAATGCTTAACAGTAGTAAGTATCTCAGCTCAGCTATCCATTTTATCCACTTTTTAACCACTTAGGCCCTTTTGATATTAATAGGTTTGTTTGGTTTCAGTTTTGACCATGTTGGTAAGTAATCTTCAATTATTTTCAAAAGGCACAATACATGAAAGAACACACACGTTTGTACACGTGACAAAACCTTAACTGTAAATGCGAAATGAAATATAAATTTACATAATATACTACAGTTTTCCATTTTGAAAACTGTAACAAAGCAACAAAGCACGGACCACATCCTTTCTTCTAATAAAGAGGTAAGAGTATCAGTTCATAAAGGTTCTAGTAAACTGAAAAGTAAACTATAAACCTAGAACCAGTTTTACAGATACTGGGATAAAAATTCTTCAATATGCAAAATGAATACAGTTCTACAATAAATTTCTCAAATTGATCGATCCATATCTAAGTTATTCATTTCTGTTGACAAATACATATTGAATGTCCACTAAGGACAAAAAGATTCTCTCTTGTACACCTTCTCATTTAGTTGAGATTATAGATAATAAACAACTGTTGCACAAATAAAAAAATAATCAAAATAATCAACCAGCTTAGTTAAGTAGCAAGATATAAAACCAATACATAAAAATCATTAGCCTTCCTATCTGTAAACAATCAATAATTTTGATTTTTATAATTGAAACAATTTTATAATTGAAACAAACAAAAAATCAAATACCTGGGAATAAGACTAATGAGAGAGATGAAGGACCTATTCAAAGAAAATTATACAACTTTCTTAAAAGAGATGACATAAAGAAATTACGACAATCCCTGCTCATGAATTGGAAAAATTATCATTCAAAATGACCATCTTACAAAAAACAATTTACAGATACAACACTATATCAATACAAATTTGAATGACATTCTTCAAAGAGCTAGAACAAATATTGATGATATTCATATGGAACCACACAAACGAAAACAAAAACAACAAACCTCAAATAGTCAAAGCTCTCTTGATCAAAAAGAATGGAGGCATCATATGACCACACCTCAAACTATATTATAAAGCCGTAATAATCAAAACTTATGGTTCTAGAACAAAAACAGACATGCAGACCAAAGGACTCGAATAGAAAACACAAATACAGAAAATTCACAATAGAAATAAACCATGTTTTAATGGACAACTAATTTTTGACAAAGCTGCAAAGAATATGCAATGTAACAAGGACAGTTTGTTCAGTAAATGTTGCTAGGAAAACTAGACTACTACATGCAAAAAGACGAAGCTAGACTATTAACTCACACCACGCACCACTATCAACTCAAAATGGATTCAAGATTTGGACATAACCCAGAAACTGTACAATAGGTGTAAGAAAATATAGGAATAATACTACATGACATATATCTCAGTAACATTTCTCAAGATATCACCAAAAGTAAAGAAAATGAAGGAAAAGTGAATGGCTGGGATTACATCAAATCAAAAAAACTTTTATACAGAAAAGGCATTAACCAAAATAAAGAGACACCCTACTGACTGGGAGAAAATTTTTGTACACAATGCTACTAATAAGAGACTGATCACAAAGATCTATAAAGAGCTTAAGTAGCTCAACAAAAACAGAGTAAACCCAGTCAAAAAATGGGCAGAAAAGCTAAAAAGACACTTTTCCAAAGAGGAAATATAAACGGCCAACAGGTATATGGAAAGGTGTTCAACATCACTTTTAATCAGGGAAATGCAAATCAAAACCATAATGAGATAGCTGACACCAGTGAGAATGGCACATATTAAAAAACAAAACAAACAAACAAAAAAACAGAACTCTCCTACACTGCTGGTGGGTATACAAACTGGCCCAACCACTATAGAAAGCTGTGTGGCAGTTCCTCAAACTACTCAAAATGGAGCTTCCATAGGACCCAGCAATTTCACTCCTAAGACTCTACTCAAACATTAATTCAAAAGGATACATGCACATCTCTATGTTCACTGCAGCACTATTTACAACAGACAAGATGTGGAATCAACCCAAATACCCAAAAATAGATAACTGGATCAATATACACAGTGGCAATCAAAAAAAGATAAATTCATGCCATTTATAGCAATATGGATGGTGCTAGATGGGATTATGCTCCGTGAATAGAGTCAGGAAGAAAAAGAAAAATATTGGATAGTTTCACTTATAGGAGGAATGTATGGGAACCAAATAAGGGATCAGGAAAAAATAATAGTTACAATAAATTAAACAACAAAATTGACAGGAAACTACTAATCTCAGATACTCTGGAGGGGAGAGGAAGGTAAAGCAGTGAAAACAGGAAAGGGAATAGTTTTCTTACACAAAAGACTATGGTGATGGTACACGGTTGAATTGACGGCAGGAATTTTGTAAGGACTACACAAGAGGAGATAGCATGCATTGTAGAAAAAGGATAAATGATGTAAAATACATGTAAAATTAAATTAAATTAAAAAAACGCAAAGTTACAAACTTGTAATAAATTTTGATTAAATCCAACAAAGTACAAAAATTTAAAGTAACTAAAAAAACAACTACTAAGCCTAACATCATTGGAAAGAAACTAGGAATAGATATGAACTTCATGATGGTATCACCTGGACTGTTATCTCTTGCAGTCATCTGCATAAGAAGTGCCATCTGCTTTCTCTCTGAGAGTGGGTAACCAAAAAGTATGCTAACTGGTGTAGACTTCTTATTTCCAGCTTCCTTTTTTGTTTTCTTCTTTTCTGGACCTTCTTTCTCTGGAATTATTAATAAATATGTAAGCACTCAAAAGTAAACATAAGATTTTAAAAGAAGAGTTGTTACATAAGAAATATATATAATATGAACTGGGCATTAGTAGACAAAAGAGCATTAGACTTATATAACTAATTTTCTTCCGAATGCTTTGAAAAAATAAAATTTATTTTTTCAAATAAATAAAAGTTTTCAGAAAATTTATAATATTTAGAAATTTACTACTAGTAAAATTTGTACCTTTTATAGTGTTTAAAAAAATAACTTCAATAACATTTCAAACATTCCTTACTATTAAATGTTAGAACTTCTTTCATTCACTCTAATTTTATTTTTCTTAATTACTGCTAAAGCTTTTCAAACAATGTTCCTTCAAATTACTTCCTAATTTCATAAATAATTTGCATAGTCCTCTAAGGAACTAAGTATTTGAGAGAACTTTCATCACACAGAAATACTTAAATAAAAAAGTACTAAATTGCTTTATTCTCATCACAGGATAGCTGAAAAATAGAGTATTAATCAAACACGAAAGTGAGCAAGTTAAAAATTCTATGTGTGTGTGTGTTGGGGGGACAGGAAGAGAAAAATACTTGGAAATAACAGATTCTGCAAAGATCAAAAATCAGCCAAGGACTTTTAAAAAAATATTGGATTCATCATAAATCGGCTCTCAGACTTAGCTTCATGGAGAATCCTTTGCAATATAGACAATGTTTCCCACTAAATGCTAGGATGCTCAGACAGACCTAGATTTCATAGGTCAGAAAGATATGGCTTTTTTTGTTAGAACTTTTCTGACAGTGTATCAATTATGCAATGGATTAATGGAGTAATTCAGGTGATCCTGTGCAGGCTAATTCATATAATCTGCCTATAAGTTATTTTTTTTGAAACCCCATAAAATATATAGGGTTTACTGATCAGGTTCAAGGATTTCTGTAAAGGGCTAAAAAAATAAAACTTAAAAGCAAATGTACATAGAAAAGTTAATGGAAAAGGGAAAACTTTACATTTTTTTTTAAAGATTTATTTATTTATGCATATAAAACTGGGGTACAGGCCAGAGGTGCAGGGGCAGTGAGAAGATTCACCAAAAGAGTGGAGAGCAGAACAGGCCAAATGACGAAGTACACTGCTGAGGGGAGCAGAGGGAGGGCCAGGAGAGGTCTTCACCCCATGTGGATCACCTCTGGGGTGGGGTGGGATTGAACTCATGCTGAGGTGGCTTTAGAGTCTTACTGCTGAACTTTAACTCGCTGCACCACCAGAGAGGGTCCACTCTGCAGTTTTTCCAGACAGATGTGGGCAGGAACTAAACTACGTAGAAAATAAACAGAAAGCTTAACAAAAATTTGATTTTAAAATATTGTTAAAGACTTATGAACTAAAAAGCAGTAAATCTTCCAGTGTACTGCTGAGTTATCTAGGATAAACTGGCTAGAGTGTCAGGAAAATTAGTGGTTCTCATAATTTAAATTATGCTGCCCACAAATCACTGAAAACTCAAATAGCTCTTTAAAATGTTTATTTTGTTGTTAACTGATTTTGATGTCATCTTTTTAAAAGTTAAAAAGAAATGTATTTATTTATACATACAGAACTGGGGTACATAAAGGCCAGAGGTGCAGGGGCAGTGAGAAGATTCACCAGAAACAGAGTGGGGAGCAGAATAGGCAGATCAAGGAGGTACACTGCTGAGAGGAGCAGCAGGTGGGTAAGGAGAGGTCTGCCTGGCGATGTGGATCACCTCTGGGGCTGGGGATCGAACTTACACTGAAGTGGCTGCAGCCAGCTTGCAATGCTGTGCTCTAACCTACTGAGCCACCAGGGAGAGCCCAATAAGTCATCCTTTAATAAGTTCTATGATGGTATTTTTATTTCCATATTTCTAATTTCATTACTTATTAAATATAAATTCCATTTATATTCAGCTTTATCTAAATTATCACTAAATTTATTATAAAGCCCTAAACAGGTCTTCTGGAGAAACGTCTATTTTTGGAATCAAGTATTTTCTCCTAATAATGTTCTTTATCTGTCCTTGTTTTCTAGTATTGAATGAGGAACCCAATTGTTTTAATGAATTTTCATCTGAATAACACATTTTAATATATAATGAATGTACTTCTTTGCCTAAATTTAAATATTTCTTAATGTGAAAAATTTATAAAAAGTATAACAGATATTTCAAGAAACATAAATGAAATCTAGTAGTTAGAAATAGCAAAATAAAGAAAAATAGGACAATCTAGCCTTAAAATATTTTCTGAAATGTTAGGGAAAACATCTTTTACTTTTTAAGCAAATTATCATTTGCACAGTAAATTTTAATTGAATTTTAAACATATTGTTTTAAAAGAACATGCCCTAAAGAGATAATGTAGTTTAAGTTCACTGAAAAAAGTTAGACACTTGTGAATTAATTATAATTCTATGCTCTCAAGTGATCCAAGATATAATTATTGCATTTTGGAAAATAAAAAAATAGGACAGGTTACAAATATCTGAACAAAAGTCAAACTAGATACCAGCATCCATTTTGAGCTCTACTGCTTTTTTAGCTAAGTCATTATCATTGGTCTGAATTCATGCTTTACATAAGATAAGAATAGTACTGAACCACAGCTATTATAAGGTAGAAATAACTACATAGCAATTTTCAAAATTGAAACACTAGATAAGCTTTAAAGCATTCATCAAGAGTGACTATTTAGGACCTCTCCATGAAGAACTATTTTCTAACCCATAAGTAAAAAATGATAACGTATCACATATTTGAAAAAGTTAAAAGCTTCAGTGACTGAAATGTGCATTTATTTGTCCTGATACTGTAAGAATTTCAAAATTTTAAACATAGGAATAATGTCATGTGCTCATTTAGCAGTTTACTATGGACTGGAAATTCCACTCATTTACACTAGAGATTTTTAAAGTCCAAGTGATTCACCTAAGGCTAATGAAGAAAAGCCTTAGTCATATAATCTTGAAAACTGAAGCCTTCTTGTCAGAATAGCCAAAAGTTCAACATAATCACATCCTAGTTAAATGTAGAGTATATTAACAAAAACACAGAATTGCTTTTCTTGGGGAACTGATTCATAAACTTAGCAGTGTCTCAAAAACCAAAGAATACAACACATTTTCCCATAGTCACTATATAGATAATGAAACAATGTAAGTACAGTTCAAATACAGATGAAGATAATTAAATAAATCACTTCTAGAATATGTATACTTCAATTCTGAGGGGGAAAATGTTGTCATTATTCTGCTTCTAAAATATCTAAATTTATCTCCAATAGTTATATTAGTATCTTAATTCTCAGCAAAGGTACCAGATCATAAAGGGTATTATTGGATTGCTGTTTCAGGTGTACTCTGGCATGTAGGATCTCCACTTTAGAAAAGTATACTTAACTCCACAATAACTGTAGATCTTTCAAATTTAATTCTGATTGCAAACCTGCCCTTACTCCCCAAATTTGATATTCAAGTATTGTTATCAGCTTAAGTAACAGCTTTCAGACTAATTTTAAGAATTATTGTTTAAGTCTATTCCTACCCAACCCCACAAATTTATAAAAAAAAAACCCAGAAACAGGTTCACTTCAGCTTTTATAAATAAAAGTTGTATGCTAAATGTAGACACTTAAGATAACCAGAAACACTTCCACTTAAAAAAGTTCTAAGAATGTCAATCCATTTTTTACAAGGAGAATCAAAACACTTTAATATGTTTTCATATACAAGAGAATATATTACTCTTTATTTTAAAATGACAGTTTATTTATATATTCTCTCTGGAGCAATTATGAAGCACAATAGTTGGTGCCATAGTAAATAGACAAATCTCAACAGTTAGTGGTATTAGCATTTTTCTAGGCTACATCTAGGTATTTCAATGCACTATTAAATTTAACACAGGCAGCAGAGTCAATGAAGACTGAAGAGTTCAACCAAAAAAAAAAAGATTCAAACATGTTTTTTTTTAAAAACATTGCATGACTGAACAGTAAGTGACAATGTCTTTTAAAATCAATACACTTGGTGTATCTTGAGAAGGGTATAATGAACTTTAATAATTTCCCAAAGAGATTGATGTACTGCAGGAGTTGACGTTCACATTGTTTTCTATGCAAGGGATGCCTCCATTTTGTGCTGTTTAAAGACTGGAGTAGTCGTACAGCGTATGTTTACAATGCCCATATACATAGCATGTATTGGATAAGTTATACTGGATTTCTCAAGCAAAAATTGGATCTCATGTAGTTCACTCATTCAACACAAGACAGTTATATGCTGGCTTGGAGAGAAGTTATATAAAGTACGATAATTAACTGTAAATGTGACAGAAACCACTGGCTAAACAGGAGCACCTGATAATCTAATTACCTGAGTATGTCCTGTAAGAAGACATAAGTCTCTCCCCCCAATTTTCACTTGTATGTCCTGGATCTGAATCTACAGAATGAGAGAGAGACAGGAGAAAAGAAAAAGCACACGAAGGGAAATGCAGAATTCAACAAACCAACATTATTTAAAAGATAAGTAGTATTTAGTCAATGTTCTATCATCATTTCCCCCAAAAGGTAAAGCCAAAAAAGTATAGTTAAAACACAGGTTTGGCCAATACCTGAAATTTGAGTTTCTTCAATAGGAATACTGAAGTTGAAAAAGTAAACTGTAGTTTGCAATATTACTGATGCTTGTACTGATAATTCTAATGTTGCTTTTTAAAACATATCTCCCTTGAGGCTGTTTTTTGTAGTTTATGAGAAATGGCCCCAAAAGGCAATATTGTACAGTCTTTCTATTTAGAGTTTGTCTTTAGAAAACTTAAAAATGGGTTTGAATCACCCTTTTGTTGAGTGTCAAAAATACTCATAAGACAACAACACTGCACTGTGGTATCATTCTAGACTACAGATGTTTCTGTAAATTATAAACAGTTCAAACAGTATGCATTACCACAATGATCACTATGAAAGGTCTCTTAGAAAGTAGCTAAATTAAAACCAAGCATATCAGCTAAAAATATGAAATTCTGCCTAACCATTCATGACAGAGAAATAAGAATGTGGAAAATAGACTTCGGCAATCTGGCCAGAGCAGGTATTTTCCCTCATAAGCAATGTGCCAAATTAGTTTAGTGATATATAATTTTCTTTCTGAGATTATCATCATAGGCATTATTCATGAATTCGTTTAGGTAGAAGGAACAAATTCTTGGAAGCAAACAATTTAGAGAACAAGTAACACCTAAACATATATTTCAGAATTTTAAAGATTTTTTCTGAAAGTTCAGTGATGAGAAGGTTCACTCAACTGAATGGAGAATCCACTAGTATATTTAGGCCAATTCTAAAGAAAGTGGGTTAAAAGATTGAACAAGTCTTTCAATGAACATATATTTCAAAACAGAACACATTAAGTTATTAACTACAAGAATTACAAAAGTATATCTAACATTTCACTTAAAGATATATATTTTTTAATTTCCCTACACCATTGTTTATTTTTGGACAATATTTGAGTAGTCCCATACTTCTCCCACCACCATAGCACCTGTGATCCATCTCCCCTGTCTTTTAGCTCTTCCCTCCTGTTCTGACCCCTCTCTCCTGTATAGGCTGCAGATCTATGGTCAGCTTGCAAGTGTTACTGAAAACAAAAAATCTTTGCAAAGCAATGAAAACGTGGCAAACATTAAATTGTGCCAACACATCAAACACTGGAGTGTAGAAAGCAAACTATATGAATGTGACAGATTAAAGCAGAGTGGATAAATTTATAAATTACAGTCATTAATTAAATGTAATAGTCTATCCAAATCTTCCATTAGAATATTCAATCCAACTTGACTCCATACACTTCCCTGCCTTCATTCAAATAAATATGCCTATATTTGGGGCATTTGAATGTATATCCTATAAATATTTAATTCAAGGGCTGAAAAGTTAAAGGCTCCCACACATTGCCCTTTTACTCAAGCACTTCTTCCTTCCATGCTCTAATAGACTATAATGAGACTACAGTTACTTATGAGGTTTAGAGAAATACAGAGGTATGCGTGACCCTTTTATTTTGTAACTATATTCCTGGGAATGAATAAGAATGGAATAATTCAGAGTTTAATAAAAGTACAATCTGCAAAGGTGATTAGTGGCATTATTCATAATATAAAAATAATGCAAATTTAGTTTGGAGGCCAAGATTAGACAGTCTCATATGTGAATCAAGACAGCTGTTCAATACTTCCATGTGAAGGGATTGTATCTTTCCCTTGGATGCCTACTGACTAGAAAGAAAATGATTTTATGACTGACAGTGCAAAAAAGTAGAAACATTAAAAATTATTCAGGCTTAGCAGTTATTTTAAGGTTCCTACTCAACATACATTCTCCCCTTCTTACCAGGAGTACTGCAATTTTGATTAGGGTGATAGTATACCTTGGTAAGTTATTTGACTTTTCAAAAACCCCTACAAGGGTTTTTGTAAATGAGGTGTGAACAAAAGTTTCTAGGGAGGATGTTTAAATCAGTAATAGGCTAAGTTTCACCGGAGAAAAACACTTCTGTTGTGGTTCTTCTCTTCTACTTTCTGCTAAGTAGAAGGAGGAGGTACCTGTGACAGTGGGCAAAAAGCTTGAGGACAAAGCCCATGCTATGGGTGGGAGAACAGAAAGAATCCAGTGGGTGGCAAATCCAGTCTCAGACAGTTGTACTGCTATACTAACTCCACATTGCCTACACTTGGTCTTAGTGAATTACATTTAACAAATCCTATTCAGGCCCGTATTAGTCTTCTGTTTGATATAATTGGCATACTACAAATGGTTTCACAGGTGTGTTACTCAAAAGGTTACAATTCTCTTGCAGCTGATGTTATCATATGTACTTCTGCAGGTGAGGAAACTGAGATTTATAAAGAACTTATATTTGGTCAGGAATACTAAGAGGCTGAGCAGAGAGAGACTCATGTCTTGTCGGACGCCAAAGCTTTAGTTAATAAACACTACCTTATGAGTTACCTCCATTATAACTTACTTATCCTACCAGGATATTAGATTAGGAGAGGTTGAAAGTAAAAGCTGGGGAAGCAAGCTAATGTAATAAGTACAACAAATAAGCAGTATTCTAGATAATATTTACTTTTATGTTTCCATAAGTTCAATGAGTCATATATATCAGAATTTAACATTTTCATGGGGCACAATTTATGGGAATTCTCTGATAGGACAGGGCAATGTCGTATACTGGAGTGATATAGTGATAAATATCAGAGATTTGCTTAAATGAATAGTTTTAAGATACAACTCTAAAAACTAAGTGACATGACTTCAAATTATTCTATAATTTGGACAGTATGACTATATTGTTCAAAAGTAATTACTGTTTTATGAAAATAATGTTAAGTTCGTTATATAAAAGAATAAAAACATAAATCATTCCAAATCCTGGGGATAAAGTGTTGACATCTGGGAAATATGACTCTAAGTGTACCTCTTGTCTTATATAAAGACAAAGAAAGTAGCAGAGATAAATAAACTTACGTAGACTAAAGAAATGTGGTATTTTTAAATGAAAACTTTAACATTAATTTAATGTTAAATAACATAAATGAAACTAAAACTTTCTTCTCTATAGGAGGTATCAAACATCAACATACAAACATAAACATACATATACTTCTTGTAAGAATTTCAAAAGAGGAAACACTTTAGAATGATTTTAAATAGGTATCTCTCTTTTAGAGAAAGAGATGAGTAGCAATATTAACATTTCCTCTTTTTATTTTTACTGTCAGTAATTTATACTATATAATAATAATATATAACTTATAATACTTTCTTTTTTGTCCTGGACCCATAATACATACCCATTAGGTTTAGGTTTAGTTTTATAAAATGTAACAGTGTCTTATATTTAAAGCCTAATCTTTCCATGTATGTCCTATGTACACATACATATTAATAGAAACATACAGAATGACCTTTAATGCAATAAAAAAGAACACATAGTTTCATATCCTACATTTAACTGTGTATTGCCTAAGTATCTTCTGCATATTATTTTTAAGGGTGAAAATAGTTTCTTCATAGGAAGGATTTAACATAATTGGCAGAATTCTGTAGTATGTAACACTAATTTACAGGTTTTTATTTTTGCTGTTATAAAGCTTTTTGCTGTTCTAAAGATTAGATAGCATTCTTGAAGATCATTTTCACCTTTGTCAATAATTATTTAGATAAAGTAAATACCAAAAGAATAAGTTGAATATGAAGAAACTTTTTTTATGTATCATTATCATATTTACCTCCCTAAAAGATACTCCATAATTCAGATCAATTAAAATAAGTTCCTATTTCTAATAAACAAGTACCACTTGGCATGATTTATGCCAATAACTTTGTAAATTATTAAAAGTTTATTTCTTTGATAATTATTAATGTATCATTCAGACCTCCTTTTCAACTTTTTTTCAATTTTGTTAGTTTGAATGACTTGCTTACACCTTTTGTCCATTTTCCCATTTTTGTATTTTTCTCTTCATTTAAGAGCTCTTTCAATACAAAATATATAAAGGTTAGGACTGACATTTGAGCTATTTCTTTCTCCTATGTCTTTATAGTTTCAGCTAATAATTTAAGTATAATTTATAAGAAAAATCAATGTTAAATATGGGGTTGAGCACTATAATTACCTTTCATGTGGAAAATATCACTTAACAGTTCTTTAGGTTCTTTAACAATAAAACTAAAACAGCTGGATTGCAACTAAATATGTCACTTTAGAATTTACTAATGCCTTGGTTGGTTGGGTGTGTGTATGAGCATGCAAAAGAAATTAAAGCCTTCATCCATTATTCACTAAAATGTATAAATTCAGTCTGCCAAAAATATGTTTAAGTTCATCGAAATCTTGTTAGTGTTAGCATGTAACCTTTCTAAGAGAAAAACAAGAGTTTGTTATGAAACAATCTTACAGAGACAGTTGTAATAGCTCACTAAATTCAAATTATGGAAAATCTGTAGCATGGTGGGAAGAACTATCTCAGTATCTTTTTCAAATATGACTACATATTGCTTATAAACTGTGACAAGAGGAAAACCATAGTGAAAGAATTATTAAGATTTTACCAAAAAACAGCAACAAATTATTCTACCTGTGTCTGAATCTCGTTCTTCATTCCTTGATGGGCTAATGGTAAAAGGGAGTTTACGTTTCATAGATGATTTCTCTTTCATCTCCTTGCCTACATCACTTCGATCAATTTTTGGAGTTTTGCTGTAGGATGCAATCTTCTCTTTACTCTAGTAAAAAAATCAAGTATGAATAAAGTTAGAACTACATTAGGTAAGCAATACAATGTGGGAAAAAAAACTTTTAAATATACACAAAAGTAGAGAGGGGTAAATATACTCCATCCTTGCATTTAATTGCTTGAAAACCAGTTTCAACAACTGCAACAATTTTTTCAAATTGTTTTCTATATCCTTACTTCCATTTAATAGTATAACAAAGTATCCCTCACTATAACAAAACACAATGCTGTGCTGTGTTACTATAATGTGTGTGGCTCAGTAGTCAGGTGAACTATCCCACCCTTTGGATTTACAGCTACTACAAAGCTTACTTTGATAATCCAACACAGAAATTGACAGACAACATAAAAACTGTTTTTTTGTAACCCCTGCCCCCCCTTTTAAAGATCTCTTTTTTTAAATTTTGTTTTTTATATATTTATTTTTATAGAAGAAATGTAGATGAGTGGCTGGGTGTGTATGAAAGGATTCACCAGAGACAGTGGGGAATAGGAAAGGCAAATTTACTGAAATACACTAAGGAGATCAACAGGTGAGACAAGAGGTCTGTTGTGCCATGTAGGTTAACTCCCTGGCCACGATCAAACTCTGGCTGTAGAGGTGACTATGCTAAGGTTAGGTCACAGAGACGCCCTTGGACCTTTGTGACTCCTTTATGAAAAACATGTTAGACACCAAGAACTATACTAAATCAAACTAGAGAGACTTTTAAAAGTTACCAACTATGATAATAAAGGATACATGTCAACTGTAGCCAGCGATTATCAGAAACAAATGTAGTACATTCAATTGCAGATGACAGTTTGAAGAACTGAAATATAGCAGGGGAACTTAAGAAACAAAATACTGGGTAGTTCATTTATATGCAGAATATAGAGAAATCAAACACTTAGTGAAAAATAACACTGGAAAGATAACATGGATCTGAAGCACCCCGGAGGGAAGGAAGAAGGGAGAATAAAAGGGGGTGGGCACAAAGGACTATGGTAAAGATGATGTGTGATTTGGTAGTAGGAGAACTATGGTGACTACACCTAAGGGGAGAAGCTCTATACTGTGAAAAAATGAACAAGGAATATAAAATAATTGTATTTTCTATAAAAATATACTTAGAATAAAAAGATGGGAATTATAAGAATACTTATTTTTTTCTAGAAAGAAGTTATCAATAAAACCAAAGCATGATACTAAAGGACTAGCAGAATAAACTTTTAATGAATATCATCGTGAATATTTGAGAGAAGAGAAAGATATTAATAGACAGGGAATGAAATCTAAGTATAATTCCAGAGGAGATATTAAAGACTTATAAAAGAATAATATATTCCTTTTTCTGCCATTAAAAATGTAAAGCATGGAAATATGATTTGCCTGAAAACATAATTACTAAAAATTGGTTTATGAAACAGGAAACCTGAACAGGTTAACAACAGAAGACAATAAATCTATAGCCAAAGATTTCTGCACCCCCAAACAGGAAATTTTGAAGGCTTATTAGAAATCCACAATATTTGAACTGCCTTAATATTAATGTAGTAGGAGCTGCTTTACAGTCACCGGGGTAAGCACTGAAAGTGTTTGTCTCCGACATTAATGAGAGAATTCATTTCCAGTCTGAAGTTTTTCATGACGCTAATTAAGAGGGAGGGGGTTGGGAAAATGCCCTTGTAGTTCCTTGGAGCCCCAACATTGGGAGTTGGGAGGATATGGCAAAGATGGGTTAGAAATCTAAAAGACTGATGCAACACATTTCAGGCAATGTTTTTTACATTCTCCTGGCTTTTTAAATAAAAATACAATTTAGGTTTTTGGTCCAATTTATGGACATTCACATGACAGGGTTGAAGATTAAAGTTTTCAGTTTTGTTTATTTCAGGTGGCTCATCTACACAGTCATAAAGTTGCTCCTAGGTGCCTGCAGAAAGTTTACTAATCTTTGCTACCACAATATGAAGCCCTCTGGTCTTGACCACATCATGAATCGTGGCATATTCTAGATTAGTCTCTTCTATCTATTCAAGCTTCATAGCTGGATCACAGCCATATTTTATATTTTAAAAGGTAATTAAATCCAGAACACTTCAGGAGATACAATAGAATTTTAAATAGATGAAAGTAAAAACATTTTTCATACATTCATTTTTGTTAAATCAATCAATAAATTAGGAAGAGAATATGATTGTCTTTTAACTGGTAAAGATTAATGGGAAGTAAAAATCTAATTTTATTTATTTCTGTTACAGAGTTAAATCCTCTTCAGTAGTTTTTTCACTTCTGACAATGAAATGGAGCTTTAAAAGCATGCATTTTGCTTAAAAGGTGTTTTAAAATAAAGGCTTATTGTTCACTGATGCTGAAGCTAACAAAACAGAAGACTACTGCCAATGAAAAGACACTGACTCACAGTTCTCAAGAGAGGACACAACATACTATACAGTGCCACACAGAGAAGCACCAAGATTGGTCAGGAGGTAAAGCAAGGGAAAGAAATTTGGGTAAGAGCTTTTATTTGTTTCTAAGAGAAAGAAAAGTTAAAGGAGAGTGCCCTCCCTAGCGGCACAACAGGTTAAAGCACAGCACTTGGAAGTTATCCACAGCTACTGCAACACAACTTCAATCCCCACCCAGCCAGGGGGATGGCCCACATGGCATAGCAGACCTCTCCTGACTCACCAACTGCTCTCCTCAGCAGTATATTTCAATACATCCGCCTATCTCTGGTGAATCCTCTCACCTCTCCCACCCCCATATCTCTGGCCCGTACCCCAGTTCTGTATGCATAAATAAATAAATCTTAAAAAAAAAAAAAAGAAGTTAAAGGAGAGTAAGTAGATTCAGATTGGCTAGCTTGAATTAAATGCAGCAGGTTCTTGAGTATTGGTGACGTATTCCTCCAGCACTTTCCCTAGATTTTGCATTAGAAATAAAAAGTCAGGATTTGTACAAAAATTAACCAAATATTCTAGATATGTACATTAGGAATATGTGTCTTTGTTACAAATAAAAGAATCTAAGAAAAACATGAAGGTAACTTTTATCCCTCAGACCTGTGTTCATAAAGATTCTGTTCTGTACCAAGAAACAAATCAATCTGACAATAGCAGATGACTGTTCAGCACAGAAATACTGGACAATATTTCAGGGCAAAGATCAGGTAGACAGTGTCCATTATAAAGGATTTGGGGTTCTTCTCTAAATTAACCCAAAGTATGGTTGTTACATTTTTGTATTCCCCTGTGAAAAATGGAGCTCAGGAACAGGTACAAACACTGATATACGGCTACTGCTACTGCTATGAGAAATAAAGCTCCCCTTTATTTGACCCAGGAATGGAGCATCTTCTGCTAACGCCAAGAATCTGGTTAATTTGCAAGTGGGGTAGGGGTAAAATCTCAGTTCCTTCATAGTTTTTGGCAAGGTATTTCTGTTTTCATTATACTTATACGTGTTTTCTAAGTTTTTCACAATGAAGTAGCATTATATGAACAACAAAAGTACTGATTATCACCTGGATTGGAGTTAATGAAGATCTAAACTGCACTGATGATAAGTAGAGGGCAGAACTACTTAGAAGAATAACATGATTAACATTCAGTCTCTCATACTTTAAGAATATAACTAGGTTTTAAATTATAAGCGGTGTGGTAGAAAATTTGTTTCACAAATTATTAATATTGATTTACAACTGGAGAATTTCTAAAGTCAAAGGACTAAAAAAGAAAATACAGATAGCCAATGAAAGGCTAAAATATTTGAAGAGTTATTAACATTTTTGATGAACTCTTGACTACTGCAATAGTTAATGAAATAACTAGTCTCTATTTACATAACAGAAAAACTATATTCATTTTAAAATTTTTGGAAGAAAAAGCAGATGCTAGAGGATGGCTTCAAGGTCAATCATCACTAAGGAAAGACAATTGTAAAAAAGTGCATCACAAATATACAGACAAATAATGTGATCATATCTTCTTTTTCTCGCCTGCCCTTCATTCAAACTTCACTCTGCCATGCGAAACAGCAGTAACATGATCTATAAGCAGAAAATTTGTAATGGAAATTATGGTCCAGCCCTTGTTAAAGTGCAAACAGTCAAATATTTATTTAAAACTGAAAGATATTTCTAAGAACAGCTTTTGCTGTCAAATCCTAAACTACGATTCAAATCCCAAAACATGATAGTAGCACCAAGCATGTTACCTCAGAACTTTTGACCCTTACTCAAACAAGTATGTGATCTTGAGAATTTATGATTAAATAACATACTGACAATTCAAATATTTGATATTGAATTAATATTAATATTTGATACATTTTACATACAGCCACTCTTTTCTATGTAACCTCTGTGGTCCTTTCCCTGTCTCTGATCCTGTCTCTCTCAGCCTAAAAATAGTTGAAATCCTCAGGGTACACTCTCCTCCAGTTATGCCTCACTTGATACACTGAGTAACACCTTCAAAACTACAGTTTGTTTTCCCCCAAAGTTTCATATATTTATTTCCAATGTAGAATTCTGTTTTGAGCAGTGGATCACATCTAACTGCCTACTCATTTCAATACATCTACTTGAATGGTTATCCTAATAGTCAATTCAACAAGTACAAACCAAATAACTTTCTCAAAAAACCAGTTATTTTCCCTGAAGTCCTGAACTAGTCCATCGCCTCAAAGGGCCCACACTACTGTTTCTATGCACACAAGTAAATTTAAATTATTTAACATTGTTTTGATCTGCCAGCTTATTTCTATTCACAGAGCCACTGCCCACTTCCTTTTGCTTATATTTTTAATAACACATAGCCTGTTACACCTGGCATATTAAAATGTGTTTAGGAAAATATCTGTTCACGGAGAAGTGAAAATACTGACAACTTCTCTCCCCAAAACAACTATAAATCTGGACAAAATTTTCAAAAGCAACTATTTCAAGGCTTTAGTGATTGAGCAAAGCAAACAACAGTTTGAGGAGCATTTTCTTTAAGAAAAGTTACTGAATCACAGATGAGAACATTAAGTACCTATGGCATATCTGGGATTGCCCTCCTTCCAGAGTATGGTTTGCATAATAAGGTTTTAGCAGGAGAACTGGCAATGAAAACCAGCACCTTTGCTGCCAGTGTTGACTTGGTGCACAAAGCCAGCTGGAGATAAAATTAGCAACCAGGGTAAGAAATGAACAGAGAGGAAGAAAAACACATTGTAATCCTAAAAGTTGTAATCCTACTGCAGGTGAGCAACAGCTGCTAGACAGGCCAAAAACTTAACAGAGATTGTAGAAACAAAAGAGCCAGGGTGGGGTAGAGGGGTAGATAACATTGTCATATATGTCTGGGCTGACAGGAAAGTTATGTTAACATGCAGTGAGAAGACCAGAGAGGAGCACGTCCTCTAAACAGTCTTCATGGACTGAGAGTCCAATGTGCACATGCAGGGAATATCTGAGAGGATCTACAGTCTACAAGTCCCTAGTAGACTAGAAGGCTGCATACTAGCAAAGGGAAATGCTGAGCAAGAACAACAGAAAGTAAATGCCAAGGCATAACTGAAAACTGCCTTCACATTTAATGTACTTCCCAACACCCAACATCAACAGAAAATGGAAGGTTTATGGAGTTTAAATATAACCTCTGATCAATCAATGGTTAACTAATCTATCTATAAAAAAAAAAAACCACAGGTAACTTCTATGAAGCAAGAATAAAAAACACAAAAACAGACATCAGTGGTTGCACAAACAGTACAGATAAACTGATATGTTACTAAATACAAATAACAACAAAAATCCAGCAACGTTTCCAAATTTCAGGTGGAAAATAATGCAGATCCAAAGCTGCTGCAATATTATGACCTAAATTGCCCTATTATCAATAAAAATTAAGACCTACAAAAAAGCAAGAAAAAAGGGATTCAAATTAAATTTCTCTGAATGGGTTCAAATATTAGGCTTAGCAAACACTGGAAAGCAGCTATTATAAATAAACAGTAACATCTGAAGCATTAAGCAGTATTTAGTTCTTGATGACTTACCAATAGGCTATCAATAAAGAAACTTATGAAAAGAATCAAATGGAAATACTGGACTTGAAACAGAGTAACTTAAAATGTACTTGATTTGATTAACAACACATAAGGTAGGAAAAAAAAAGAAAAATCAGAAAATTAAGCATCCCAATTTCAAGGAAACCATTCATCTATAGATCTAAGAAGCTAACAAACTCCAGATAGGATAAACAAAATACGAAAAACAGGACAGAAATCTTGAGAGCAGCAACGAAAACAAACTTCACCGAAGGAATTAAAAATGACTGCTCATCAGAAAGCTAAAGCAAGAAAAGGCTTGGGATGATATATTTAATTTACCAAAAGTAAAAAAAATAAACTAAGAATTCTGTGTCCCTTGACAGAAAGGGCACATTGTCATAAAGTACCACATATTATAAAACCTCCATTTATTGGGCAGAAGAGCTAAAAAGACACTTCTCCAAAGAGGAAATGCAGATGGCCAACAAGCATATGAAAAAATGTTCAACATCACTCGTAATAAGGGAGATGCAAATTAAAACCACAATGAGATACCACCTCACCCCAGTGAGAATGGCACATCTTCAAACAACTAGCAACAACAAATGTTGGCGAGGATGTGGAGAAAAAGGAACTCTCCTGCACTGCTGGTGGGAATGCAAACTAGTACAACCACTATGGAAAACTTTCTGGAGGTTCCTCAAACTGCTAAACATGGAGCTTCCCTATGACCCAGCAAGCCCACTCCTAGGTATCTACCCAAAAGACACAAAAACACTGATTGAAAAAGATACCTGTACCCCCATGTTTATTGCTGCTTTACTTACAATTGGAAAAACATGGAAGCAGCCCAAATGCCCAAAAGTAGATGACTGGATTAAAAAGATGTGGTACATATATACAATGGAATATTACTCAGCAACCAAAAAAGAGAAACACATGTCTTTTGCAGCAACTTGGATGGAGCTGGAAAAGATTATACTTAGTGAGATAAGCCAGAAAGAGAAAGAAAAATACCAGATGGTTTCACTCATAGCAGGAGTATAATGGACCAGGCGAGAAAATAACAAAAATAATGAACAACCATATACCAGATACATTTTGCGGGGGTGGAGTGGGGAATGGGATCAAAAACGGGGGGGGAGGAGGGAAATGCACGGGATTATGGTGATGGCACAGGGGTGACTTGGTGATGGGAAACCCGCGGGGATTACAATTGAGATGGAAAAAAAAATGTACAAAATGATGTAAAAATAAACTTTTGGAAAAAAATATTTGTACACAAATGTTCAACTAAAGGAGAGACTAGGTAGTCAACATTGTTAGGTGACTACTGTAGAAATCTAAATGAAGGTTTTTAGGATTGAAATAGGATGAAGGACAGATATATGTAAAGATAATCCAAGGTCACTGACAACTTTAAGAAGGCACAAAACGGCTGACATTTACAAGCACTTACTATTAACTAAGCACTATGTAAAGCATAAAACTTTTTATTTCACTGTCACAACAATTCTGTATTATCACTATTACAGAGACAGACACAGAGATTACAGAAGTAAATTTATCCAAAATTACAGATATGGAAAATAGAACTGCTACTGTATCTGGTTGTTTTGCTACCAGAGGCTAAGTAAGGGATAGGGGAAGAAATGCAAAATGACTGTGAGATCTCCACTCTCAATTATTATCTTTTACATAATTGCATGGTATTAATAATTGTATTAATCTTAGGAAATGAAAAATTTAATTCCCAAGAATTAATTTCTAAAGGGCTTAAGATAATTGGTTTGGGTTTATCATCCACACTACCTTCTATAGTTACTATAAGTACTAAAGCGGGAATCTTTCCCCCAGTTTCAAAAATCAAAAAAATATTGTAATTAGTCATATACCTTTCTTCCATATGGCTTTTCTACCATATTGTTGTCACTGTCAGAATTTTCACTCTGAACTGGTTTTGTGAACCCAGATTTGGGCATCTTACAGCTGTTCAGCTAGCTTCTTTTATCAGTCTTCTCATCCTGGAACTGGAAAGAATAGACATGTGAGGGTTACTTGTATACATAACAATAAAATCCTACTTAAATTTTATGCACAACTAGTGCAATTGTTTTCTCATTGCCTCTAGAATTTGACAGTTTTCTCTGAGAGCTAATCCTACCCCAAGATAAATTTTAACAATTGAACATCTATAAATGTTTCCTTGTTCAGGCTCACTCAATTACTTTTATAGTTCTTCCTACTTTCTCTTGACTAATATATAACATCCAGTTTTCTGATCCCAGAAATAATCCAAGTAGAAACCCTGGCAAAGAGTTTCTTAGTGCAGCATGGTAGGAGCTCCTATTAGTCCCTGATAGGTATTACTGGTCTGAATGTTGTTTCAGAAAACCCAACTAAGAACTATGTAGTTTACACATATACCTCTATTTTAAATTAACTTCATTAAATCTTTCCTACTTAAAATTCATGTAGTGATTAATTTCCTTCATTGAACTCATTAAGACATCCTCAGGTACTCAGTCATTTTGTCAAACTGTTTAGTGACTGAATGCTTATACTGTTAAATTTTCTCTCTAATATGTTTTTCAACCTGTCTTCTGCTCAAGCTGTGCTGCTATATGATGGAGAACCTATATGCACATATTGTTGTTCAAAGTTAAATTACTTAAAATTACTGACAAACTTAAATTTTAATCACTTCATGATATGAATTTCCTACATATGGGTGACATGCATCTAAGAAAGCTGTCATTCTATTCTAGTATCTGTGAATTATTAAAATTCAGACATCTTGGCCCTCCCTGGTGGCGCAGCAGGTTAAATAAAGCGCAGCACTAAGAAGCTAAGGCCACTTCAGCATGAGTTCCATCCCCGCTTGCCCTGGAAGTGACCACATGGTGCGGCAGACCTCTCCTGACCCTCCCGCTGCTTCCCTCAGCAGTGTGTTTCGTTGATCTGCCTGTTCTGCTCCCCACTGTCTCGTGAAGCCTTTCACCACCCCACACGTCTGGCCTGTTCCCCAGTTCTATATGCATAAATAAATAAATCTTAAAAAAAAAATTCAAACATCTCAAACAAAAGAACAGTAAAATATTTTCTTTTATTTATCCTACGGGTGCTTTAAAACCTGTTTAGATTTGAGATCTTCCTTGATGGTGCAAGGGTTAAGTCTGAGTTCTCAAACTATGGCCAGCCAATGTGGGATCCCCACCAGGAAGCTAACCTACAAAAGGAGCAGCAGACCTCTCCTCTCTCCCTCACTGCTCCCCTCAGCAGTGTATTTCAGTAGATCCTCCTGCTCTGTTCCCTACTCTGTCTCTGGTGACTCCTCTCACCTCCTGCACCTCTGGCCTAGATGCCAGTTCTTCTGTGCATAAATAAATAAATCTTTATATATTAGAAAAAACTTTAGTTTTGATGTAAACAGAATCAAATTCCTCAGATGAAGGGATTTCATTTGTAATCTAGCAAAGCTACTAATAAATCAATCTGGATATAGGCAAATTAGAGCATACTTCAACACAAAAAAACTACCAAAAAGCTCAAGTAATTCAAATCTTTCATCTTATATAGGAGAAAACAACCTTGGAGAGAAAGAATTCTAAAGGAACTTTTTAACACTGCAAACAAAGGCAGAGTTTTACCTTGGAGTCATTCAACTGTTTGAATTATTGCCATATAAACAGAATCATTTAAATACTGTCTCAAAGCTAACTCTATATAAACTTGACAGAATTAGAGTTATAAGTCATATATAAAACAGAAACATTCTGACCCAAGAGCAAAACTTAAGTACATAATATCGACATGCTTCAGCCTAGGTGATACTATGTGGACAAAACATTATCTCCTTGTAAATCAGACAAAGCAAGTCTGATGAATAATAGAGTAGCATCAATATTTTTTTGTGAAAATTAACATGGCAATAACATTACATTAGTAGAGTGTACATTCCAAAAACTTTCTGGACTTCAGCACTAACATAATGAAAATACACTTAGTTTTCATAAAATATTACTTAACAGATATTAAGCACTTAATACATGCTTAGGCTCTGAATCTAAGACACATATACATTTATCACCATGGATTCCATAAACAAAGGATAATAAGGAATTATTATAAACTTTACACAATGAAATTAAACAAAATGTGAAAGAAGTTTCTTCAAAGGACATAACAATGATCTCTTTCACACACGAATAATCACTAGAGCAACACAATACAAAGTTATATAATGACAATCAAAATCACACTAAGTTTATTAAAATGGAAAATTTAAAAATCTACCAGTAGACAATAGAAGCCAGAAGAGAAAACGAGGAATGAAAACACACACACACACACACACACACACACAAATCCAGAAAGACCAAACAAAGCAATGATAGGCTTAATCAAGGCCTATCAGTAATTACTTGAGTGATTTAAATATGCCAATTAAAGAGACTGTCAGGAGGGTAATAACCAAACTCCATATTAATAATTAGAAATTTATTCCAAATGTAATGACATAGATAGGTTATAAGTTAGAGAATGGAAAATTATATTCTGAGCAAGCAGAGATGAATGGAAAACTGCACTAGTTACCTAATAGCAGAAGAGGGGGCACTGTATACCCTATACTGACAAAAAGGTCAATTCACTAATGTGTATGCAACAAACTTCAAAATATAGGAAGTAAGAACAGACAAAACTGATAGCTGATCCAGAAATAGACAAATTCATAATTGTAGTTGGAGGTTTTCTATTACACTCTCAGAAAGTCATCAAGGATATAACGGAACTGGAAAATGCTATCATTTGGAATTGAATGATTCTAAATGCCACTTATAAGACAACAGTTTTTTTTTTTCAAAGGCAGAAATAAGAGCACCAATACAGATCACACAGAGGATAATACCAACAAATGTCAATAAGTTTAAAATACTTTAAATAACAGTTTTTCAGACAAGAAATTAAACCAGAATCAATTGTAGAAAGATAATAGGAAATTCAAACTCAAAAGTAGAAAAAAAATCAGTTAGATGTAAAATTGGTTCCTTAAAAAGATGAACATAATTTATAAATCTCTTTGCCTTACAGATATATACATAACTAATAACAATAAAAGAGCAAAGAAATAGACAAATTTCATCAAAAGCAACATATTACTAAAGCTCACTGAGGAAAACAATCTCAACAGCTCAATATTGATTAAAGAAATTGAATTCATATATAAAAAAATCAAGAAAATGTCAGGTCCAGAGGGCTTGAATTTGACAGAACATGTAAAGATCAAATAGTAACAATTCCACACAAACTCTCCTAAAAAAGAAGAGGCCTCCAACAGACTGATACGAAACTAGAATGTCTTTTACAAGAACACTACAAATCAATATACCTCACAGTCATCTACAAGAAATCCTTACAAAATATTATAAATCAAATACAACTATATATAAAAAAGGATGAAAAATCAGGATCAAGTAAGAGAATATACCAGAAATTTAATGTTAATGTCATTCTATAATTCACTGTGTTAACAGGTTGAGAGAAAAAAGGCTCATCTCAATAGATGCAGAAAGTCTTTGATAATATTTAATAACCATTAACAAAAGACAACTCAATACACCAGTAACAGAAGAGGATTTGATAGCTTTCTCTCCTAAGATCAACAATGAAGAACGATGTCCACTTCTCACTTTTGCCACCTCAGCTTTCAAGAAAAACTACCAAACAAAAATTGTAATCATTTAAGGTGTACGTATACATATACACTGAAATTATTATCACAATTAGCTAATTAACACATCCATGCCCTCAGTTAGCATATTCTGTGTATGCTGAGAACATTTTAAGATCTACTAAATTCACAAATTTCAAGTATATAGTACAGTGTAACTCCATGTTGTATATTAGATCCCAGAACTTATTTATGTTTAAATTTATACCCTTTATCAAAATCTCCCTATTTCCTCCATTCTCAACTCCAGCAAACCACTGTCTGCTATCTTTTATAAGTTCAGTGTTTCAAATTCTTACTCTGTCTGACATATTCTACTTAGCATACCGTTCTTCAGGTTTACCCATGTTGTCACAAATGACAGGATTTTATTTTTTAATGGTTGAGTATTATTTCACATAAATAGATGTACCACACTTTTTATTCCATTCATTTGCTTATACACTTAGGTTAGGTTGCATTCATACTTTGGTTATCAAGAATAGTATCTCAACAAACATGGGAGTTACAGGTATCTCTTTAATATACTGATTTTATTTACTTTTGATCTATATCCAGAAGGGGGATTACTGGATCAGATGGTAGTTCTATTTTTAATTTTTGAGGAATCACCATACCATTTTTTATAGTGGCTGTACCAATTTACATTCCCATCACCAAAAGGGAGGGTTTCTCTTATCTCCACACCTTTGTCAATATTTGTTACCCATTCCCTTGTCTTTTACTAGTATTCATCCTAAAGGTAAAAGATACCTCATTGTGGTTTTGATTTGCATGTCTGGTAATAAGTGACACCAGCATTGTTTTTATATATTTGTAAGCCATTTATATGTCTTCTTTGAAAAATATTCAGGTCTTTTGCTCATTTTTTCAAATAAGAGTTTTTTTTTGGGAGGAGGGAGGAAGGGGGTTGAAAGAGGTCCTTATATATTTTGGACATTACCCCAAATGATTGAATGATTTTCTATCATTCTATAGATTGTTTTTCCATTTTGTAGCTTTGCTGAGCAGATTTTCTTTTGATGTGGTCTCACTTCTTTCCTTTGCTTTTGTTACCTGTGCTTTTGTTGTCATATTCATAAAATCAAAGACCAAAGACAAACAGCTACTATGTTATGTTTTCACATCTTACATTTAAAGCTTTTAATCCATTTTAAGTTAATTGTAGCAAAGAGACTAAAGTCATTCATACCTATACCCAGCTTTCACAACATCATTTTTGAAAAGACTGTTTTCCTCCTTTTTGCATTCTTGGCCTCCTTGCTAAAAATTAGTCGACCTTATATGCACAGTCTATTT